AATTTCTTTTCCTTTATTTAACCTATGAAAACATGAGGAAAAAAAAACATATAAAATGATATAAATATACTTCTAATAATAACATCAAACATTGTAAATAATAAATCAAAGTCTTAAATAACAAAGTTTACACATTCTAAATTTCTAATAGAAATATTTAAGTCTCAATGCCTTTAAAATTTAAAGTCCAAGCATACCAACTATTAACCAAATATTAAAGTCAGTACATCAAAGTCTAAATACCTTAAAACATAAAGTCTTAATTAATATCTTAAAAACAAACATAAAATATTTGTAAGTCCAATTACATCTATCAAATATAATCAACCATCTCCAATAATAAAATTTGAGTCCACATTTAAACGGGTAATCCGCGGGCTCGCGGATTAAATCCGCAAAATCCGCGGACTAAACGGGCCGGGCCTAGAAAGTCCGTATGATTATACGGATTAAAAAAAATGGGTCCGTTATCCGTGAAGTCCGCGGACTTACGGACCGGTCCGCGGACTCAAGTCCATATACCCACCCCTAGCTGTGACACATGGCAGACCTTTAGATAACGTATGCGAAAAGCCACTCCCCTCTAGCGAGCCCGGTCTTAACTTCTTGACCTACGGCCTTCAGAGCTCGGGGGGCTAGTGTACTATCCGTACTTCGCAGCCGGGCTCCGAGCTCAGGTTATCAACGCGGGGCGACCCCGGACAACTAGTTGTCTGGTGTCAGCCCGGTATTTGAGCAAATCACAACTGAAACCTGGGATCCCGCCCCAGACGGGCTCCCTCATTTAATTATATCACAACATATCCTATCTCAAGCCCAAGGCCCAAGACAAACCTAAATCACTTCAAGGTACGTTAATTATATATACGAGACTATTATTCATACAAACCCTAACTTTGGCATCGGAGTCTCTTTTGCAGGTACCTCCCCCATCTTGGAGCACCAATACATCAAGCAAAGGAGGCTCACCGATCTTACTGGACGGGTCACCTCTACGACCAAATTCCGGTAAGAACAATTGTATTTCTTT